AACTCCCTACTTTTACAGTTTCTGTGCTCCTAGGTGGAAATATTGAGGGGCAGGAGGAAAGGAAAGCCATATGCACAAAATAAACCACCCCCAAAATAACAGATAAAATGGTATGAATACTTGGCATTAAAATTAATCACTTTCATTTAAAAAAGAAAACTTTTTTAACCAGCATGATGCACCTTTGTAGTAATGAATTGTATTTTCCTTAAAGAAAATAACTCCTCCCTTAATCTTATTTCTCTAAAAAAAGCCCCAGACACTTTAAAAGCAATCCTGGATGTGCTTATACCTATCAAGAGACTGTTTTACACAAGGGAGGCAACCATCAGATTATTGTAGTGTGCCTACACACCACGTACACCTTTACAGAGCACTGCAACCTCAGAGATGTTCACTTCTACGTATTTTCTGTTTAATCCATCAGGTCCCTTTTTCTTTTGAAGATTTTCACGTACCTTAAGTTGCAGATGGCTCCTGTCACCTTGTTTTCCTGTGTTTCTTCCATGTTCTAGTGCTTAAGGTAGGGCTGGAAGGACCTGAACTCATCAGGTCTCTTAAGCACATTTCTTCTACATCTGCACGTAGCCCTGGGTGCTGAATGGGAATGAAATAAAACGTAAGTGGAATGAAACGCTCAGCATGTACGTCTGTCTTCTGTGGAGCAGGGATTTCCTGTACAGAATGACAGACTTAATGTGGAGAGAACTTATTTCTTACCTATTTGCTCATCTGTCCATGTCTAAAAGTCTTCAGATGTCACAACACGGATTTAAAGCCTCTCTGAAAAGCAGTAGTATCCAACTCCCAGAATCCTGTTGTGGATTCAGCACTGAGCATTGCTGATCTCAGCAAGATTTTACGAATACACGTACAGAGGGAAGCATTACTCAAGTAAAAAACTTCACATTCTTCAGCTGAGCGCTGCAGACCAGCAACACTGTGGTTGTCACGTTTGCATGACCTCATTCAGCTGACATGTAGAGTGTTTCATTGTGACAGTCTTAGAGACAAATCTCTGTTATCACCGAGTGGATATAAACTGTAAGAAAAGATGGGCCACGGTCATCCCAGTCCCACCGTGCTGAAGCCTGGGGAGCATCACCCCAGGCGCACTCAGACGTTGTCTGTGGGATCGGAAGCGGTTGGGGTTCTTTTGCAAGAGCTGCACTGCCCCGGTCTTGTGTATCCTGTGCAAGGCAACAGTTCTTTATTTCATGAAAGAGTTCATCTACTTTTGTTACTGGGCTTTGAGAAGAGCCTTCAAGATCAGTATGGGAGGGCCTTCCCGTCCTCGAGAGCCCATCTGCCAAAGGAAACACGGACAAGAACACCAGGGCTCCAGAGGAGCAGCTTTTGCATTCATACGTGTATTGAGCAATCACGATTGGGTAGAGTAAGAGTTTGCAAGGCTTTAAGGTAAGTTTATTTCTAAATGAATGTTAACACAACAGAATAGAAAGTTTAAATACAATATTTATTGCAATTTATCATTTTCACATCCTACATACAGGATGTATTAAAAGCATACAATGTAACTGCATTATTTATACAGCATATATGAAAAATGCATCCCAAAATACTTTCCAGAGTATCTGGAACAAATCACAAAAGAATACTTACCACGGTACAAATGCAGTCATACAATTGACTTACAGTTAATGCACTTTCTGGGACCTATCTATATGGCTTTTAGTGATGTTTACAGAAATTTTACTACTTTCCATTGTTATAGTGCTAATTGACCCAATCTCAAATTGACAAAATTTATACTGAAGTGTTACAGGCTTTTCAGTCAGATTTGTTACTATCTATGCAAATTTACATGGCTGCTGATTTGACTGGAAAGCTATACATTTCGTGTAACACAATTGTATAAATACTGTTCCTCTCCTGTTCTTCACAGCTACCAAATTTAGACCAGTGGTCCGTCCAATCAAATGATGGTCATCCAGCTCATTGCATGTCAAAATGCTCTTAAAATATAGCAGAGACTTCAATCCATATTTGGTTTAGGAAACACACACACACCCCCCCCAAAAAAAAAAAAAAAAAAAATTCATCAAATAGTCAAGACAATTTATACAGAAAACTTTTGCAGGAAGATTTCAGTGCCTTGCTGCAGTCTTGGTAAAGTCTTGAGCAGATGATCACAGTTTTGCAAGTCTCAGAGTGAAAATAGCTTGCAGTACTGTCAGAGGAGATCCTCAGGAGTACATTAAAAGCAGAATGAACTTCCTTTTGAAGTCTGTGTCAAAACAGCATTTTGATACTTCATCCTGCCCTCTCCTACCACTCACTGAGCATGTCACAGTCATCAGGTTCTGTTTTCTGAATTCTGGCCAAAACCAGAGGGATGAAGTATTCTTACTTATTTAAACTTGTCTTTTACAACAATATGCATTTCCTTTTATCTATAAATACCACCTTCATCCATTGATCTTAACTCTGAAGGTAACTTTCACAAACCATGGTTCAGAATTAAATCCCAGAAGTCTAGAGGGACTGTGCAGGCACAAAAACTGCTAAAAGGCATTGTGTACTGAACTAAAGCTGTGTCCCTCATGGACATTAACATGGCCAGCTGAGAGTAGTCCTTAGTACTTCTCTCTTCGAAAACAGATACTGTCCAAATATTTCCTGTTATCAGCCACTAGAGGGAGATACGATTACACAAGTACAAAGCTTAGCCCTGAAATCTGAGTTGGATCATTACCCATCATTTTTCGGGTTCATCAACATATGCTTCCAATTTAAAATGTTCTCTTTTAGAGGTTCACGTCATGATCTTAGTTGTTCATAATCATACTTCATTTAGTTATTGATCAAATTAACTGTTATTTGGGAACTCTGTTCATCACTCAGTCTCCCAGGTTCACTCAAGCATCAAAACTTCAATCCAGAATCCCCTGTGCGCTGTGCAGGCCGCAGCTTCGCCATGTGTCAGCTGGTTCCATGTGCTGGGGCGCAGGTACAAGGCAACTGTAACAAGAGGGCCTTTTGCCTGAACTCTGTTTTCATGGGGAACAGACTTTGTTCTCGGGGACCTTCCCTTCAGGCCATATCCCACTCCAGAGGTTTTTGCCCCTCTTCTCTGGGAGCAGCTCTCTAAGCAAATGTGTGGCGTCAGGCCTGTTGACGAACGTGACAGCTGCAGGGTTTTCTTTGCCCTTTCCATATCCATGAGATCTTTTGCACTCCCTCATCACATGCAAAGTAAACAGAATTTCCTTTCAGAGCTATTAAAACTAACAATGTTTTTTTTAATTATTCTTTTCAAAAAAACCCAAACATTAAGCAGCTGTTAACGTTTGCAACTTCCGTACCAGTGAAGGTAACAGGCTTCCTTCACACAGCAGAGAATTTACCTTTTTGTTAATGGCTTTGATTACAATTATTTCTTGAATTTTGTGCATAATACAATCTGTAACATTGGGACTTTTTAGAAAAAAATACCATTTTTAAGTTCTCAGGAGTTGAACAGGTCACGAGGAATCAAATAGCTTACGTGCAAACAGAGGATGATCTGAGCACAAAAGCTGGAGAGGTTTGAGCTTGCCATTTTATTTTGTGTATGCTTTGATTATATCAAGCAATTCATGTTCCTGCAAGATACCTGTACCACATCAAAACATCCTTCAATCCATCCTCCAGTACAGGCTTCTTTATTTAGTAGTTAAACAGCACAGCTACAGAATAAACAACGTTCTCTAACAAAGTCAGAAACCCATGAAATAACGCAGGAATAAGATTTGGATTACGTGGTCAATGTTATTATTTTAAATACAGCTCTACTGAGTATACTTAATTTGGACAGTACTGAATTTAAGAACTTGCATTAGACTGGAGATAAAAACAATCGCTTTGTGAAGCCCTGTAGCAAGGTAGGTACCTCCTGGGATTGACATTCAGTGCAAGAATGGTATTAATCATACAAAACTGAAGTTGTTTGTTTTCTACAGCAGTTGCTGGAATTAAAGAAAAATGCCCTTCATTCATGTTAGTAGAACTACATGAAAATAAAATTCATTTTAGTTCACTAAGACTGGGAGTTCAAAACAAGATGTAAAAAAATACCCTACAGATATATTTAAATAAGTTCAGTACTAGATGCAGTCAGTCCTGCTGGTACTTTGACTGTGCTTTGGGGGCGTGAGGTGGAAAGTACTCAAAAAACCAAAACCCTGGTTCAGGACTGCCGTTGCTATAGGAATTGCAGGGACTGCTGCAGGTCGCTGTAGGCAATATTCTGTTTAATGACAATTCCTTCCTCTAATGGAAACGTAAAAAAAAAGCAGCAGCAGGGATTTTCCTACACAGTGACGACTGAATGTACCACCAACAGTCACTCTGTCCCGTGACTGAGGAAGTACAAACCAGTGCCTCAGTCCAGCAAAGCCAAACCCGTTATAATCCGCTCTGTCGCCTACTGTTTTGAGCATCTGCATGTGCTGAGGGGATTAATGGAGATAGCCCAGTTGCACCTCTCCCTCCCAGCAAAGGGTGCTGGTTGCGAGTGAACTTCTTCCAGGTGAACGGAGCCCTCAACCCCACCAGGTCTGTGCCAGGCGTGAGCAGCCCTCACGGACAAAGGGGGAGCTTTCAGACTAGCATACTTTCAGATGCTGCTTCTAGTAGTGTGGCAAATAAAATATATTAGAGCTCGATTACACAAACAGAATTACAACACAATTGAAGAAAAAACTGTACAGCTATACAACTCCCTCCTGGCAGGCATCGGAAAGGACCCACTGCACTAGGCAGCTTCTAAAGAAGCCACGCGGACTGCTGTTTCACTCGTCGTGCTGCCTCCGTATCCCCCTCACGGTTAACGTCGGTAGTAACTTCAGATACGAAGTCACTAAAAAGCTGCTTTAAGGGTACATTTAGCAAGACTCCATGCTGCTGTTCTGCTCTATGACTTGATAAAAATTTATCTAATCAAGCTGCAAAGGCGCAAGATATTTGCTCGTGTTTAGAAAGCAGGTGGACTCGAATGCTCAAGATGTACTGTTCTTTGTGCTGAATTCCAGCACTCTCTTGAACGGGGTGTACGTCCTCACCGGCCTTGCGCTTTCAGGAGATCTTCTGTTCTCAGTACTGGTACTGTTAGGGAGACAAGAAAAAGCTACAGAGTTAATGTCAGAGTATCAGACAGCTGGGCTGGAAATGCCACGCAATGAACTTGTGCCTTGCTACTGACATTGACGGGCTACAATCAAACTATTCAGGGTCTTTTATATGTTCCGTATTTCTTTTCTATAATGCCACAAGGATTATTTGATAAAAACCATGGCAGATGCTGACAAGTTTATCTGCAGGCATGTGCTGGAGCTCGTATTGGAATGTCCAGCAATACAGCTACTAGGACTAAAGACTCTGCAACAATAAAGACAGCAATATTACATTTAAGAAGACAGTTAATTGTGAAGAGTAATTCCATAACATCTAAATTGTGTAGATGTACATTTCTGCATAGAGGTAAATCTCAAAACCAGGAAAAATACAAGTTAAGTGGGGGCTGTGGTTACATATAGAGAGAACAACAAAGAAAGCTTTGTGTTGGAACGCCGAGTGAAAAACACTGGTTTTGAGGTTTCAAAACTCATGCCATTAATGTATGCTGAACTAGGCTGAACACTGAAATGAGAGCGTTTTTAATTGGGAAGGAAATTTTGGTTAGTATTGCAGCTTGCTGATTGCATATGCTAATTTACATTCCTCAAACTAAATGATTCAACTTGCAGAGCAGTTAAGATGAACAAGCGTACTGTTGGCAGTAAAAGTCATGCGCAGTGTCCTCCTTACCTTACTACTTTGGCCTCTGTTTCGCCCTCCCCTGTGGGGACTTGTAGGGAGGAAGACTGAAGTGCAAGTCCACAGCCTTGCCCGCAGGGCGCAGTGCACCGCTCAGGGCAGAGCAGAGGGAGGAGGAGAAGGGGAGGTGGGATCCCTACATCTGTGCAGAGCCAGGCTACAGAGCCCTGGCCACCACCGGTCAGAGACAACCATTCTGGTGCAGAAGCGGAAACGTCACCGTGCCGGTTACTTGGCACTGTTCCATCGAGGGCTGGGAGAGCTCCGGGAACCGCGGCAGCCCCGGATGGGTACTGTTGGCGTTATCTGCCCTCTGTACTGGTCCTGGAGCCCTCTCCCGGCCCACAAAGAACAAAGCATTAACCAGCCTCAGAGCAGAGCGCTCCCTTGTCTGCTGCTGAGCTGCGGCAGACGCGTTTCATCCATATTTCACACATTTCACAAAGTCGGATCTCTTGACTTCTAGCTTTCCTTCCTGCTTCAATCATGTTACTTAAGTAAGTACTCCCCCAGGGTTTGCATTTTGCATCTTTAAAAAAATAATATTCCTCCTCCGTAAGTCACTGGTGTACACTACACCTAGTAGATGTGCTCTTTTAAAATTAGGAGAATTTTGCAAAACTCCACAATTCACTCTTAACAGTTTATTAGCACAACGGTTTACCAGGACAGCAGCAATAAGGAAGGGACATTATGAAGAAGTTTCTTATGAACAAGCAGAAAAAGTAAATACCTGTATGGAAGATCACATCCTACACCAGTATCTCTGGTCTCTATATTGGTCTTTGGTTGGTTTTCCATTAAGTAGTCCAATTTATCTTGTAATTCTTTATTCTGAAATACAGTAATTTTTATCGCAAGTTTATTTTATTTAAATTTTGTTAATTAAACAAGGAAATAAAATTGCAGATTGACTTATCCCCACAAGAAATAATGTAACAGATTTATTGAGAAAACAAAGGAATCCTTACTTCTGGGAAAAAATATAAATTAAACCATCAGTTTTATTCAGAAGCTTCTGTTTTAAGTAACTGTAATACTGTTATAAAATTGTATGTTAAGAAACTTAGCATGAAAACTGAGACTTTGCATTACATGCATTCCTCATGTGACTGGGGTCATAAGTTTCATTTCTGTACTGAAGAACAGCAAATACATATAGTAAATATGCATCTAGATAACATCAGGTGACATCAGTTCACATTCTACTTGGTTCCATAAAATAATCACAATAATATAAACTTAAAAGGTAATGCCTTACCTCACATTCTAAGAAAGAGATTTTCTCTAAAAGCTGTATTATAAATAATTCCTTTTCTTTTACTTTCTTCCTTAGCATTTCAATCTATGAAGAAAAAATAAAACAAAGACATTTAGTCTAATGGGGATGGGAAGAGGAGGAAAAAGACCTAGACACCATGGGAGGAAAACATGTTTATTGTTCAGCACCAGCTGAATACCTGTACCTCTTCATGAACTGCTTTAATCCACGGACCAGCTATCATCCTGTACCGTCAGGACCATCTATATACAGATGATACACGTATACTAACGGGGATTTTAAGAATTTGTATTTTTGTCGAAAGAGAACAGAAACTCAAACATTGTCACGGAACAAAGCAAACTAGAGAAAACTCTGTCTTTGATTCAAAGGCATTTGCTCTAGTCAGTTTTTAACTACACCCAAAACCACAGTGCACATTGGCTGGTTTCTTGAAGTTCTTAGTTGTTCAGTTATGTCCTCACATACCAGACTCCTTGAAAAAAAAAAAAGCGCATTTTCATTTTACACCTAGGAAATGGAAACAAGTTATTTGCAAATTTCATGAAAATTAAAGTTAGCTGCACCAGAAGCGTTGCATCTTAGTACTGTTCTGTATGGGACAGAAGACAATCTTCCTTGGGTGCCGGGATGTCTGCTGGTCAGAGCGCCACACAGCAAGAACTGCTGCATTAAATCTTCCCCTGCTACCAGCACAAGCAGGTGTGACCAGAGAAACCAGGTATGACCCAGACTTCGTACCAGCCCCTTGCTGCTGGCCCAAAGCTGTTCTGATGGTGGGGAAAGGGCTTTCTAAGGCGCCTACAGCCACCGGTTTCCGCTTCCATTCTTCTGAACCCTTTGCTTAAAGCCAGATCCGCTGTGTGAGGTCTGTACTGTTACCAGCAACGGTCTAAGAGACCTGTCGACTGGCAGAGGGGTCGGTTCCTTCCAGGTAACCGCACTGAGGAGACAACAGCCTCTTGCGCAAACAAACTGAATTTTCCCTTCAGACCAAAGGAAACTCACTTGTTATTCTCTCTCAGCCTCTGCTGACTACACCTACTAAAACAGTGGCTAATAAAAAAGGCAAAACAAAACAATAGCTAAATACAACTTCAATTATTCCTGCTTCCCCAGGAGGCAGCTCAGGCCATTGCTCACAGCCAGCCATAGACACACACCACTTCACAAGCACAGAAGACAAGGCGCTTCCTATATCTGTAGTTACAGTCTACTTCAGATGCAGAAAGCAGTTTTTGAAATAATTCTAAGGAGAATCATCTGAACTGCACCAAAAGCTCAGCTTGAGGGAGAAAAGGGATCCTGCATCACGTTTGCATGCAGGCAGGAACTGGGACAAGATGGATTTCCCACTGTGTTCTGTGCTCGTGCAAGTCATGTCCGACAGCGACAGCAATGGAAGCTGATACCAGCGGATCATCTTTTTGCCCTCAGTATTAAATGGCATCAGGTCAATAATTTTTCCAATTAAATTTCAATCCACCTTTCTTGAACAAGCTGTTTCAGGCCAGACGACATGAAAGTCAAAACCCCTTTTTCCCCTATATTTACGTCCACGGGAATGGGTCTCTCAACTGAGGTGCTGCAACATCAGTAGCTAAACCCCTCTGCCTGCTCACTGACAGCTCGCTCTAACTGGGCAGAGCCGACCCAACAACTTCTGCTTTACCAAACAGTGTGTTATCCGAGGCAATTGTCTCCATAATTCATTAAAGTAAATCAAAGATACAAAAAGTTTCTCATCTTAAGCCTGAAAGCAGAATCAGAAGTAAACCAAGCTGGTAAATGGAGGGACCACATCACAAATGGCATGCTGGAGTCTGCCATGCACTGCTTCTAGTAAAGTCTATATTCCTGTATATATTAAAAAAAGTGCACCCCTCAAAGTTGGGAGGAATTAGATGAGGAAAGAAAGATACTCAAACTGCCATTACAGCACTAGAAAAGGGTGTATCCTGCACGGTCCTTCACGGTTTTGGGCAATATGCCAACAGTGAAAAAATTCGGATCTACATCTATAGCATTTTAGCACAAGAAAACTATAAAAATACCTATGCATAATAAAGAGGTGTTTTTGTTTTCTACAAAACTTCACATTAAGTGAGGTAGCTTTATTTTGTCAGGTTGTTGATTGGCTGTGGATCCAATTTTAAGGAAAAAAGTAAAAACTATTTTTAGTAAAAAATTTAGTGGACTTTTACTGAAGTGAACAGCCAAACTGAAGTCAAGGAAAGCTCAGAATACATTAATTTTTCCTGCCAGTATTATGTTGCATTGCTACATTGATATGCAAGAATGAGCATTTCTAAATTTTCCATGCACTCTCACCAGTCACTTTTTAACTCTGTATCTTAAAATCAATTTTGTGAAAGAACATTAACAAACCCTTTCAAAACCATCAGTGTAAAACTTTTCAGCATGTCTGGAAACAGTGGTTAGTAGAAATATCCACATCCTGCTAAAAGAGAATGATAAAATACTCAAAGGTACAATAATCAAAACAACAGTAATACTATCACCCTCCCAAAAATTTACTGCTAGGTATTATGAAACACTTCAAACAAAACATACAGGACTATGAAAAAAAATGAAGAAAAACAAATGCATAAGTTAAACCAAAAAATGAAAAGTTATGCAACCCTCTCAACTTTAATTTAGCCTCCACCATCATCAGGTTACCACATCTCATTGACGCGATGGTCAGTCACTGCTTGGAAAAGCTAAAATGCAAAGTCCCCACAGTCAGTGGTTTCAGCTGAGCAGTCACAGAACGTATGAGTGCTATCATCATCCATCCCTCTCAAAATCAGGTCTTTCCTTTTTTTGTTCTTTTACTTTAAAGTGTGTGTAAAAACTATCCGCGTCATCTAAAGCTATTATCATTTCCGTTTTCAAATCACAAAGCTTGTAGCATTTTCAGAGAATCACAGAACATATTTTGATCTTCATATTTAATTACAACTTTAATGGTTTGACTAAATTAAGTCAGCTACATCTTCACTGGTTCAATAGCTTCAGTCCTGCCAATAAATTCCGCTTCAGAAAAGATAAACTGTGCTTTTAGGATGTCCAAGTGGGTCTTCTCTATTAACATTCTGTTCTCCTGCTATGCATGCAAGGACGTAACGTTAACACCAGTAATCAGTATGACTACTGGAGCCAGGCACATCTATGTGATCCGGGTGATTGCTTTGCCCTGACAGATCCATTCTTTTTACTGAAGATAATATACCTCATCAGCTGCCTATTCTGGTTTTTACATCAAACACAAATTATTTCTGTTTCCAAATAACTGATCGAATTACCTGTTATCCAACAGCAAGACCAAACTCTTGTGTTTCATAGCCATTTTCCTTAGGTTATATTCACTCTATGATACAAAGGCTCTAAGATGTGAAATAAACTGTGACAGTAACCATTATGTTTACCAGTATTAAGTACAAATAGATTTAGTGCAAGTTAAAATTAAACTTATATTTGTTTATTCTTCACATGGCCTACAGAGACACAAACTCCCTAAGGATGTTTTTGAGTTACTTAACTAGAATAGTCTGAAGGCAAAAATGACCATGGACACCTTAAAAATCTAACAAAGAATGCAAAGATGAAGACCCTGACAAACAGCTTCCTCCCCTTCCCAAACACAAACCCAAACTCCAAAAAGATATTTTGTAATTTGTCAGAAATGTTACTGGTTTTACCTTTGATTTTTCTTTTTATTTTTTTCCCCCAGTCCCCTGAGGGCTGGCAGACTGAACCACACACAACAGTACTCCCTGCCTTGTTTTAGCATGTTTACATAGTACCAGTCAGAACCCATTAAATCAATCTACTTTGTCCCTCTGAAGAATTATGCCAGAATTTTAAAATACACCTTCTCTTCTACAGTATGAGAAGAGACAATGTGGTACTATACCATCACACACACAAAGTCTATCAGTAAAACCGAGCGGAATGATTAGACCATGCAGATCACAGATATGACAAGGCTGTGAACTAGGTAGCTTCTCTAAAACCTTTTGGTGGGTCTTTAGAACATCACGAACCCAAAGTCAAAGCCACACAGGCCAAACACATTCCAGAAGAAATAAATTCAGCGGTGGCTGAAGTGAGAGGCTGTTTCAGTGCCAGGAAAAACGTCCTGCAGTCCCTGCTCCCCAGATGGAGCAGAGCCACCCTTGGAGGCCACTGCAGGAGGAGAGCAGGGCCAAAAGGTAGCAGGGCACCCCTGTTACTTCACACAGGCATGCTGCTCCCCCCCGACATGTGGCCAACTAGTTGTCTCAGCAGCCACTGCAGTCCGAAGGCTGAAACGACTTCCAAAACTCTGATGCACCTTTAACCGACCCGCAGGCCTGACACAGATGACACATCCCACCAGAGTAATTCACTACAAAAAAGTTTATTTACTGAATAAGGCTTTGAGTACAGATCATCTTATGCCATTATCACCAGGAGTGAGAAAACCTGATTTGATTAACCCTTGAGGGGATATGTCACAGGAAACAAGAAAAAACAGGAATAACTTTAGAGGAATATATTAATATATTACTATATTAAGTAAGATGCAGCCTTAATTCAACACATTTATATAAGTCACACTGCACAAAGTAAAAGTGATGGCTTCCTTTGAGAGAGGAATGTAACAAGAACACTGGATCATAATGCTCACACTGGGTAAAAGCACTTAAAAATAAAATTCATACCTTGCTATTTAATGTCACTTTGGTTTTCCCATAACCATGGTAGTTATGGCACACTAAAATAAGACTGTAATATTTACAGCACCATCAACCTGTATTGCACAAACCCGTCTCAAGAGTGTCTCTCTTTCAAGGAGTTGCATAAAGCAAGTGACAGAGCAACAGATTTCGAGTTTTGGTTGAATGTAAGGTGAGGAGAGAGAGAGAAGCAGCAAGATAGGTCAAACAAATACTGAACTGAGAGCCCAAGCAGTAGCCAGAATAGTCTAACATCAGAAACAAATCAGCACAAGCCAAAGACACTCAACTTCCATGGACTGACTCTTGGATCTGAGTCCCTTCTGAACCGACTCCAGG